CCGCGGACCCCCTTTGTGTAGAACTCCGTTTCCACCACGCCGCCCAAGCCCGGCCCGCGCCAGCGCACCAGCAAGGGAGTCGGAGGGGGTGGGGGGAGATGGGCGCCGGGCCCATCGCCTCCGCGTCGCTGGCAGCACCGGGTAATCTGGTACCACGCCCAGCGGAGTCCCCCGGCTGCCCACAGCATAGGCTGGGCTGCGGTGTTGACGATGGAGGCCAGGGCACCCAACACGAACGTGAAGATGCCTAGGGCGAAGCAAAGGACCGCGGTCTCCCACCAGTACCCGAGCATCTTAACGCCCAGTCGGTCGATGGCGGATCCGATCCATCCGCCGCTCGTGCGGATCGTGCCAGTGTGGTCGGGGGAACTCACCCACGCCCCGTAGCCCACGAACTCGAAGACCCAGGCTGCGAATCCCCAGCCGGGACCTGGCCCCACCTCCGGGGGCGGGGTAGGTGGCGGCGGTGGCGGTGGGGGCACGCTCCGGCCAGCCCACCAATGGGGCAGGTGCGGGACCCAACCACTCCACCCCCAATACCCGTCCAGCCCGCGCGGCTGGTCAGGCTCGCCATCGCCCGTCCGGTTTCCCGGGGCGGACGGCTGCCCAGGCGCGCCCGTGGACTCGTCGTTCCCTCCGTATGCCGGCGTAGCTGGGCTGCCCGTGGGCTCGCCCTTGCCTACGCGCCCGATGCCCGCGGGTGTGGTCGTTGTAGTCGACCCTGACCGCGGCGGCGCGGGGGCGCCCGGCGTCCCCGGGGGCTTGGCCTGCGGCCCTCGCCCCTTTCTCCTTGCAGGCGCGGGCTTGGCGGGCGGTCCTCGCCCCTTGCCTTGCCCCCCACCGCCTGTCGGCAGCGCTGTCGGCCCGGGCAGGGCTGACGGCGTCGGCGCTGGGACCTCATTTCCCCCGCGCCCGAAGGGCAGCCAGCCAAGTGCCCCTTGGACCGTGAAAGCACCGCCCATAACCAAGATCATCAGGTGCGCTCCCAGGAAGCCCACAGCCATGGCACCACAGACGCGCTACCTAGTCCGCGGACTAGCACGGCTGTGGTTGTGGCCGCCCCGCGGCCCCCCGGAACACCCGCGCGTCGGCCAGAGCCGAACGCTACGGACCCAAAATGGCTACCAGAGCCCACACCCCCTCCCACTTAACCTGCAGTCTACAACCAATCAGACTATACAATATGTATGTATGTATGTATGTATGTATGTATGTACGTACGTACGTACGTACGTACGTATTATTATTTTGATTAATATTATTATTAGTATCATTATTGTTATCATTATTATTATTATTATTATTATTATTATTATTATTATTATTATTATTATATATTATATATTTATATCGCAAATTCGCTTCTACTATCTTGACAACGTCTAAGGCGACAGGCTCCCAATATCGCCACAAGACGACCCAAGAGGCCCCCAAGAGGGCGCCCGAACGGCCCGAGATGGCTACGAGACGGCCAAGAAAACCCGAAGATGGCCCTAGACAAATCACAAAAGGTCCCAAAAGGGTCCCGCGGCAATCCAAAAAGGGCAATGGGAGGCCCCCTGGACGGTCCAAAAGGGCACCAGGATGGGCCACAAATGCGTCAGCCCTCCTAAGACGGCCCCATAGGGCCCCAGGGCGGCTCAAGAGGGCCCCCAGCGGGCCCCAAAGGGCTTCACAAGGACCCCCGAGAAGGCCCAAGAGGCCCCCGAAGACTCACAAATGCTTCAAGAACGCCCCCAGAAAGCTCCCACTAGGCCCAAAGAGGGCCCCCGGTCCACGAGCAATACAGGGCTTCCAGAGGCCCCGTAGAAACGCGTCGCGATGCCCCGGCGGGCACCCAAGGCGCCCCGAACTCACGATCCAGGTCAGGGGTGCGCCGCCATAGCGGCGCAGCGGCCCCGGCGGCATACCAGCGACCCCCTTGGCGGTCGTGTCCGAGTCCCCGCCCCATTGGTTGGCCGCCGCTTTGTTCACCCGAAGCAATTCATATCCTATCGCTTCGGCCAGCTGTAAGCCAGTGGGCGCCGTGAACGCCGAGGCCCCCTTTCAGCCCCTAAATCGTCCAAGTGACGCCCGAGCCACCCCCGCAACGGGCGTGCGTCACTCGGCAGCTGCTAGTCCTCCTCCTTCGCTTTCTGCTCTCCTCTTCGGCTCCACCTCCCACTTCGCCATCGCCGTCCACGTTCGCCCCGTCGTCGTCGGCCAGCTGTGGGCCAGTCGGTGCCGTGGGCGCCGAGACCCCCTAGAGCCCGCCCGAGACTCGCTCCCCCCCCCCCCCCCTAAAGGCGTCCAAACAACACCGGGGACATCTCCGTAGCGGGCGGACGTTCGTCGTCGCCATGGTTTTCCGCCGGCTACCAAACGATCGAGAGGACCGCGAGATGTGCAAATCAACGATGCTCCCAGACCTGCTGATGGATCCGGATTTCGTGCGCGCGTCCCCCAGAACGCCCCAGAGGCTTCCAGGAAACCCCGGGGCGGCGCAGAGGCCCCAAACGCACGCGAGAAGCTTTGACGCCCTGACCACGACGAGCAACTTTCCACTGCGCGCCCCTCCTCTCACGGTGGGGTTCGTCGCCCTTTCTCCGGGCGACGACCTGCGCCCCCTCGCGGTCATCGGCGTCGCCCCTCGCCGCGCCGACCCCTGCCCTTCTCCGACGAGCCTTGCGCCCGCCCCGCCCCCAGTGCCCGCGGGTCCCCGCTCGCGCTCATGAGTCTAGCTGGTCGGCCTCATGACCTTGGCCCACATCGCGGCCACTGCATCAGCTCTCTCGCTGCCAGGAGCGCATTCCGTCATGACCTTTCCCCCCCTTCAGGCGACTGCGGGGCCGTCTGTCTCGTCGTGCCCGTCCTCCTCGGCGTTCTCTTCTTCTCCTCGTCTTCGTCCTCGCCATCCTGGCTGCGGATCATTCGTTTCTGCTTTAACTCCGGTGGCGCTCATGGCAATGCTCCTTGAACGTCACGGCCGCAGACCTCCTCGTAGTCACCACTTCCTCCCGCCTCGCATGCGTGAGTTTGGCCCCGTCACACCGATGCCCTTTTCCCCCAACCCAAAACATGCTTGTGGCCCGTCCCGGGCTGATGACAGTGACCCCCCTCGTGGTCATCATCTGCTTTCTCCAATCACGAATTCACAGAAGCTCTTGGGAGTGTATGGGCGCAGGACCAAGATTGAGGTGAAGCGAAGCGAGCCTGCACATCTTGTATGTGCATACCGTGAATCTCCACTCACGCATGCATGTATGTATGTATATATATATATATATATATATATGCACGCATGCATGCTTGTAGTATGTATGTCGGTATGTGCATACATACGCATGTATAGAACAACAATGCCTCGCTTTCCCTTCCTCCCTCATGCTTTGTACCTCTCCTCGTCCTCCTAATCGTCCTCCCGGCCCCTCATTTGCTTACCACCTCCTCCTTCTTTCCATGTGCCCTGCGTGTTCCTCCTCCTCCTCCTCCTCATTCCTTTGCGCTTCATCTTTAGTCCTGTGTCCGCCGTCGTCCTCATTCCTCCTCCTCCTCCTCTTTCCTTCGTTTCCACTCCGTCCTCGTCCCTCCTCCTCCTTCCACCTATCGCTGACGCTGGCGGGGTTTGGGTCCACGGTCGGAAGCGCCCGCTGGCGCCTCCGGGCGGTGCGGTCAGGAGAACAAGCGAACTAGGCCAGCACCTCGCACGCAGGGGAGAGAGCGGCGGACGATGATGGCACGAGGAGGAGCAGGGACCGAAAGAGGTGTACATTGATAGGGCTTCGGGTTGCGCATAGATGTTCCCCTTCCCAGGTGGCCTCCAACAAGCCCTCCGAGTAATCCGGGGCGGTCTCGGCACCCTGGCGCCGCCTCCAGCAGCGCCTCAAGGTTGGGGTGCCGAGACTCCCTGGACTGCACGGGGGGCCAGTGGAGACCGGCCAGGAGTACCTGTGGGGGCTGTGTGCGCGCAGCCCGAAGCCTTACCGATGCCCACATGCCGGAGACCCAGACATGCGATACCCGGATTGCTTTCCAATACGGGGCCCCCAGAAGTCCCGACCCTTTCCCCAAGACCGGTTTTTCATCCTGAACCGTTTTTTGACGGTCCCAAGCCCAACGAAAGCCCCCAAAGGCAGAAAATAACGGAAAACCTCCCGTCGTGATTTTTCACGATGCGAGCGTGTCTAGGGACCTTTCACCTCTTCCGAATCGTCGTCTGCCATCGCTGGGTACCGCCGCGCAGGGGCCCACTGTCCCAGCCCTCCCAGTGCCCCCTCCGACGCAGGAGGTGAGGAGCGCCCCGAGCACGAAGCTGACGATGGACCGCATGTCCTGCTGGAGGGGGAGGAGGTGAACATCGTTGAGAGAGCGTGATCCACCGCCGCTTTACTGTGGAAAATTGTCGCCCTTTTCCTCCTGAACCCGGGGGTCCCCCCCCCCCTCCGAAAATCCCCCCCCTCTGCTGGAACCCCTCCCCCCCCCTTCCCCCGGCAAAACCCCCCCCCTCCCCTAACCCCCCCCCTCGAACTCGAAAACCGGGGGGGGTCACTACCGGTTCGAACCCCCCCCCCCCCAAAAACCGGAGGGGGGGGTCACTACCAGTTCGAACCACTGAGCTGTCCCACTGTTCCCACCACTGTCCCCCTGTCCCTACCACTGTCCCCACTGTACCTCTGTCCCATTGTCCCACCGCCGTCCTCGCCACCGCCTTCACCACTGTCCCCACCACCACTGTACCCTCCACTGTCCTACTGTTTCCACCACATTCCCACTGTCCCCACACCACTGTCCCCACCACCACCGTCCCCACCACTGTCCCACTGTCCCCACTGTCCCCACCGTTGTCCTCACCATTATCCCCACCACTACCGTCCCCACCACTGTCCCACTGTCCCCACCACCCCCGGGTTTTCCGGAGGGGGGGGGAGGGGTTCGAACCGGTAGTGACCCCCCCCCGGTTTTCCGCCAGCAGCGGTAGAACACGCTCTTTCACATCGTTTAACCGACCCCTATCCCCACCAGCGTGGCATGGGCCCCACTGGCCGATTTCCCCCCTAAATGGGGTTGTCGGCTGTTTACTTCGGGTTCCGACGGGTATATCCCCAACTGGGATGCTGAGATCGTCGGGCTCGGGATGGTGATGGGGATTGGTGTCGGCTAAACGATACTGAGGGGGAGGGGGGAGAGAAGCACAATGCGATCATAATCGGATCAAGGTCGGCCCAAGCGCAGCGCGACCAAGATCGGCTCCAGTGCCATGTTCCAGCAACGCGGAGCTCGCGCAGCCTGAGACGGAGCCCCAGAGACGCCGGCTCCTGGCGGTCTGTGCTACGCGGCGAAGGAGAGGGAGAAAAGGGAACGAGACGCACGCCGACGACGGCGAACGCCCAAGCGTGGGGCCAGGGCCGGCAGGACGAAGCAGGCGTGCGGGCAGGCGGGAAGGGACTGATGGGAGACAGCAAGCGGGGAGCAAGGGAGGAGAAGGCAAGGGAGAGGAAGATCCGTGAAGGGAGAGAGGGAGCAGGACGAGGAGACTGGTGGAGTGGGACGGGGATGCGAGGGAAGGAGCGAGGAGGTCGGGAACAGAATGGCCCGAGGGCGGCCCAACCCAGGGCCGACAAGCTTGGAGGCCCTCGGCTCGGCCGTGGCTGCACCCGCCCAGCCAGGCGGAGCGCTGAGTGCGCCTGCGAGCCGTCCCCGCCAGGCCTGCCCTGGCGCGCCCCGTGGCCAGCACGCGCCTCCCAGCGGGGGCGCCGCAGGCGCCAGCGGCGGCTCTGGCGCGGGGGCCGAGGGCGGGGGAGGACGGCGCCGACGGGCCTCGCGCCGCCCGCGCTCCCGAGGGCGCCGAGGGCGCTTCGCTGCCCTCGCTCTCTGCTCTGTCGCCGCCCTCCCTTCCCTGCCCCTGTCCCTGCCCCCCCTGTCCCTGCCCCTGACCTCCCCGTTCCCCTGCTCTTCGGCTTCCCTCCATCCTCGTTCCCTCCGCCGAGCCTCTCCTCTCCCCTCTCCCTCCGTTCCTCCCCTCCCTCTCTCACCGTGATCACAAATCATTATCCGCCCAAAAGGACTCGGGGCCAGTGGGGGAAGGGAGAGGGGGGCGGGGGAGAGAGGACGTGATGGGGAAGGGGAGGAAGGTAGGGCGGGGATGAGCGAGGATTGAGAGAAGCGACAACACACTTGTTCTACGTTCTTTCGTTTCTGGCCAGCCTGCTCAGGCCATTCCGTGGTTGTCGTCGAGACGCCGAGGGAGGACAAACGTACATTCAAGCGTGGAGACACTGATAATTGCGCATGAGCAGGCGGCTTCATGAAAACGATCTGTGGATGATGAGGAGGACACGGAGGAGTGGGAGAAGGGGTGGTGGTGGGAGGGTAGCAAAGGGAGGCTTTGTGATGATGGACGCGGGGCAGCGTAACTGCAACTGCGTTGGCACGGTAGCTGAAGAGCACAAAAACGATCGGTCCTTCCACACATCGTCCGTCGAGTATCCGCCTCCGGGTCGGTCTTTTGAGGAGGAGAAAGAGGAGGACAAAGAGCGAGGATGACAAGGACTGCCACCCACGCCACGACACGCCTCTGAAGCGGAGCTAACCTCGCCCACTAAACGAAACACAATGGCGCGCCCTCCCGTGCCCGCTTGGGCTGCCGGGGTCCAAAGTACACCCCCCATCGTGGATGAGCATCGTGGCAGTGGCAGTGGCAATCCTCGCATCATTTTGCGTCCGAAATGCTCATACCAGCACTGGCAGTGCCAAGAAGACAGCATTGGCAACACCATGAACCAACATCGGCAATACCATGAGGCTGCTAGGGTCCGACGTGCACTCCATATCTTGGCAATACCAATGGGACAATTGGCGGCCCGTCGTTTCCTATCCATCTGTATCCGCCCGCCCGACAAGGATGAAGGAGGAAAGGGAGGGAGGGGGGAGGAGAGAGGACGGAGAACGAGGGAGGAGGGAGGGAAGGGGGAGGAAGGAGGAGGGAGGAGCGAAGAGGAGGAGGATGAGGATGAGGATGAGGATGAGGATGAGGATGAGGATGATGATGATGATGATGATGATGATGATGAGGAGGAGGAGGAGGAGGATGAGGAGGAGGGAGGAGGAGGATGAGGATGAGGAGTAGGATGAGGCGGAGGCGGAGGAGGAGGCCTTGTGGCTTCAGCAGGCCTGTCATTTTCCAGAACGGGGCCGAGGTCGATCCCGAGCTGGCACGCCGCGCCGAGGAGGCGAAACGGCACACCCGCAGGTTCTTCGGCCTGAGGAGGAGGACGACGACGTCGACGACGACGAGGGAGGACGAGGAGGAGGAGGAGGAGGACGGATTGGAGGGGAGGCGGAGAGACGGGGAGGAGGGAGGAGGGAGGACGAAGACGAGGACGAGGAAGACGAGGACGACGACGGTGACCTCCCGCCCGGTGCGCCTCGGCCGACGGGGCCCTCCCATGCCGGGTCCGGGTCCCGCTGCGCGGAGGCCGCCAGGCCCAGCGCGCTCAGGAGGCACAGCGCGGCCGCCGCGAGGCCGACGGAGACCGTGCAGTGGAGCACGACCTCCCCAGGGCTCCCCACGGCGAGCCCAACCTCTCGGCGGTGGACAAACCTCCCTTCAGTAGACCTTCCTTTAGTGAAAACGGCCTGGGACCGAAACCAACGGGCCTGGACCCGCAAAAATGACGGCCGCGACGCCCTCTCGCGAAGCGAAAACGAGCAATTCGCTAATCGACGTGTCAGGGTAGGAGGTCTGTCCACCCCCGAACCTCGTCGCCGTCGAGGAGGAGGGGGAGGGGGGTGAGGAAGGCGGGGGTGGGAGGAGCAGGGTCGGGATCGGGACCGGGCTCGCAAGAGTGCAGCCGTCTGCTCTGGGCCATCGCGAGGGCCCGAGGCTGCGCCGTGCGTGGGCTCCGGGCGGCGGAGCTCGGCTGGCGCCCTTGCAGGCGACCCCCGCTTTCGGACAGGGGCGTACAGCCCCTGTAGGGGCACCTCTCCGCACGGGCACGCAGCCTGGGGAGCCGTGGGGACCTGGTCATCCAATGGCAGTGGTCGAACACACACAACCAGAAGCGTCTCGACAGGAACTGGAATCCTGGCACACTGTGCTGTAGCAGTGCTACCTGTAGTGGGCCCCACGTTACTTTGGAAAGGGTATCCCACTCTTAGATGACAAACCCTTCGACAAACGCTTGAGCACCTCAATCCCCGTCTTCGAAGGGTGAGCAGGTGACCGATGATGAAGGAGGAGGAGGAGGAGGCGAGGGATGGGGTGGAGTAGGACGAGGGTGGAAGGATGGGAAGGGGGAGGGAGGACGACAATGGGGGCGAACATGTAACCAGGATGCGCTAGCGATGCTGCAATACACCCCTCCGTCCCAAGCCCCCCTTCGTAAATTCCTGCAGGCATTACCTGTCACTGGCAGCGCCCCGCCCCCCCAAAAAGACAAAAGACCCATGGACATGCCATTTAGGCGAGAGGCCCGTACTGGACCGCCTCCTATCCGTCTAGCTAGAAGGACAATGCATCTGTACAACTATTAAATTCAAAGGAACGACCAGCGAGAACATCATCTTGAAAAGGAGCCGCCCTCCATCCGTGCCACTGCTGCGCAGTGTGGAACTTCTTGCCTTATAGTATGAAGAGGTGACCAGCGAGAGTCCCATGCTGAGAAGGAACTGCCCGGTCTCCATGTATCTGCTGCGCGAGAAGCGAGAACCACGTGCTGAACATATGCCACCCATCATCAGTGCATGCAGAGGGCTTGCAAAACGAATCTGCACGGCGCTGATGCGATAATCGCACACTGAAAATAACCTGCCCTTCACCCTTGTATCTGCGGGGGGCTTTTAACACGAATGTGCATGGCGATGCAGCGCATTTTGCAAACGATCCGCCCTCCGTCCCTGAAACACTTTGACATCTTAATGCTCACCACCATGCCGCATACATCGCGAGGAAATCCGAATTGGGGAGGAATTCTTCCCACGGGCACGGATGGATCAAGGTGGAAGAAGAGGACGAGGAACACGTGGAGGATGAGGAGGAGCGTGGTGGACGACCGGCACAAGGAGGATGGAGAGGGGGAGCGCGAGGAACAGTAGGGAGGAGGACGACGAGCAACAGGAGGACGGAGGTGGGTAGAAGGAACAGGGTATGAGGATTGATGCTGATGGGGAGTAGCTTTGTGGGATTGGTATGATGAGCACGAAGATAGCGAGGATGGGTATGATGATAAAGGGAACATAGGACTGGAAGAGGATGAGGAGGATAGCGGGATGAGAAGAACGAGGAGACGGAGGACGACGACCGTAACAAGCAGGATGATGAGGAGGAAACTAACCACAGTAAACCCAGGTTGCATAAACGAAGATGCAGTACACACTCCTATCCCAAGTTCCTTCATCAGAAGTCCGTAATTACAAGCCTTCCCTAACTCTACAATCTGAAAGGCGAACGCGTGGGCCAGTTAGGCTCGGAGGAGGCCCTCTTCGTCAGGGGCTCTCTTCGCTCAACCCTATTCGCCTGAGGCCCTTTTCGCCTGAGGCCTTCTTCGCCCGGCCCGGTTACACGCAAGAGTGACCCTGGGTAAGAGTGACCTTTGGTGCGCGGCTTTTTGAGGGCCGCGGGGGGACCAAACACAAGCAAGCAAAGCGCTACTGTCGCACCGCACGCGACGATCGAGGGGCCTCGGCGAAAGGTCACTCCAGCGAAGGGTCACTCTGGCGGAAGGTTACTCTTACGTGTAGTCCACCGGCCCTCTCCTGCCATCGCTCGGACGTCCATTCCCCGTGCATTTCTCGGTTTCGTGCGTGGCTTCTCTTCGCAAAATGGCCCGGTATGCTCCTCGATGGCCCTCGCCGAGAAAAAATGCACACGTTCAAGCGATGCCGGGCTCTTCGCCTGGCCCTTTTCGCCCGATTTCCTTCGCGTGGCCCGCCTGCCGCCCGCCAATCAGTAGGGTCCGCCCACCCTTTCGGGTCCGGCGAGGCGCGGCGAAGCGGGCCCCGGCGACGAGGGACTCGCGCGACGAGGGACGAGGCCTTCGGGCGATATCACCGTTTTGAAAAAGGAAGTGCCCTAGGCCCTTCTAACGAAGAGTAAGACATCCGAGAAGATAGGATTATCAGGTCCAACGGGATGTTCAGCGTGAGCCCTGTTTCGACAAGGGGCCGCCCCCCCCATCCGCATAGTTGATGCACGCGCTTGGCATTTTTCATATCATTATATTGATTTTAGAAGCTACCAGGAGCAAAACAGGGGGCAACAAGAGGGATAGAGAGAGAGAGGAGGGAAAGAGATAGAGAAAACGTGAGAGATGGCTGTCCGTTTCCGACTTTCATTATAGCTGTTCTGTTTGACCGCATGTGGTGGTTAATCTTGGAGGAGTATCAATCGAAAACCACGCTTTGAAACACAATCGCCCTCTTTCACATTTGAAAACATAAATGCAAGGCGCTACAACGAAAACCTTTTATAACATAGGAGCCGCCTTCCGTCTTGGTAGCTGCTGCAAATGTCTAAGACGAGTGTGCGCGGCGCTGAAGCAAGAGCCTCGCGTTGAAAAGGGCCCGCCTCCACCCTTGCCTCGCGTTGAGACCGCCAGGGTTCAGGATCCTGAGTTGCGAAGACACCTCAGATGAAACGCCTGGGGCGCCCCGCCGACGCCTCTGGTGGTGCGATGAGGAGGCGTTGCCTATAAGGAATAGGGAATGAGGTGGAGAAACAAGAGGAGAGAACGAGGAGAAGGAGGAGGATGAAGAGGGGGAGGGGGGGAAGGAAGAGGAGGAGAAGGAGGAGGAGGAGGAGGAGGAGGAGGAGAGGATGTGGACCTGGATCGGGCAACGGCAGCCCAGCGGGCCAGATCTTGCGAAGCGGAGCAGGGGCATCCGCCGCCATTTTGTTTCATCACGGTTACATCCTTCTTTTCTGGCTTGGGAGCCAGCCTAGCACAGTCGCCAGCGGGCCGTGCGAGCCAGAGCTCGAGTCCTGCTCGGAATAGCCCAGGCCTCGAAGATAGCCAGCAATCACCACAGCAACCCGATGTCGAAACAGTGGTGGACATGTTCGAGATGCCGCGCCACGTTTCCGGTGACACAGTGGAAATGCAGTTGGGGATGGGAATGGCGCACGCCTCGAGCTCGATCACAAAATCGTCGATATGCATACTATACGAGGAGCTAGCTATTAGAGGGTTTAGGCTTAATTTTAAAAAAGAAAAGGCAGGCATGATGATAAAACCTGCGGGTCCCAAAGCTACCCATACTAGGAACGAGCTCGAGGCATTAGGCGAGTACTTGCATGTTCCTGTGCATGATTTGTATGTACACATCGTCACACGATATAAGCATGTTGGAACCATGCTTTGCAATGATGGAGCCATGCGTCCGGAGGTTGTCTACAGAGGGCAGACACAATCACGAGCCGTTGGGTCACCGCGTGATAATGTTTTTAAGGTTGAAGAGCTAGAGACCAAGAAGAGTCTTCAATACGCTAAGGCTTTTTGTTTCAGCCGCCTTTTTTACAATGCGCATGTTTGTTCGCCGCTTGACGTCACGATGGAAAAGCTGTTGGCAGGAAAATGTATGTCAGTTGTGCGAGCTGCGACAGGGAATAAGTACGACAATGCCAGCCAGAAGACGGCTTGCGATGTGCACGTGTCTGTTTCTCTGCAAGTGCTCCCCGCTTCCGGTACCATTCGTGTCCGCAGGACACGATCCTTGCCCAAGCTGCTCAAAACAGGCCCCCATGCATTAGTTTGGATGCTAGATCTTCTAGTTCGCCTCTCTCGTTAAGATCCCCGAACGGCTCCAGCCCGTAGGTGATGCTACATGGTGGATAGCTCTCGCCAGAAACGACTTGCCTTCATGGAAAGCATTGTGCACGGTCCTAACATAGGCAAAAGTCAATGTCCATTTACATGGACAGCATCTTAGCCAGTGGCACAAGGAGCTACACATGACTTGTAGGCAAGCAGCGTTAGAGAGCCCATCATGTCTAGAGCAATTTGAACCCACATGCGTTTTTCCTTGCCGCGACTGTGGCGCGGTGCTCAAGACCATAGGATCATGGCACCACCATCGCACTGTCCGCCACCCCGCGCTGGACGCGGCAGGGAGCGTGGCGGAAGGCTCACAGTGTCAATCGTACGACAAAAAAATTGTTTTAACACATCCGGCTGCTGAAGCATCTGAGGCACAGTTCCTCGAAATGCTTAGCAATACTTCGGACACATTTCTGACCAGCAAGCGAGCAAGAGATTCTCAGGAGAAGGGCCGAAAACAACGAGACGGCTAGGGAGATGAGAAGCCTTGGTCGCCAAGCAGATTTCGCAGAGTTTCGTGCAAAGCGTTTCATTGGACCCACACTAGAGGGATCCGTGCAATGTCGCACCGTGCGCCCGTCCTGCCAAGGAGTTGAGACGCAGCTCGAAGAAGATTTGGCACCCGTAAGTTCCAGAATGCCTTCGACAATCCGATCTATAGCCTGCTTGTCTGACGACGCTCCAAGCTGGGACACACTAATCTCAAACATCTGCAGCGCTGTCGGACATTTCATATAGTACCGTTCCTAGTTATGTTGGTGTGATAGGTTTAGCACAGCCTGAACAATTCCAACGGTTATTGTATAGAATTCGTTCCCGTGAAGTTGTAGCGGTATATGCGCAACCATCGTATGAATCCTGGGGTGTCCCTAATGAGCGTTCAGTCAGAATGTCCCCAACGATTTATAGATCGGTCCAATTTGTTTGGGGCATGCCGTGGTTGCCCAAACGATTTCAGGATGTGATCCGTGCTGGCAACGCAAAGCTTCGTTTTTCCATTAATGTTGCCTATGTGTGTGCTGTACACTTGTGCATTTGTTTTGTTTGCATGCCACGTGTATCGTCAGACGCACCGCCGTCCCAGGTTCCCGTCTTAGCTGCATAGTGCATTTCAACGGCATCCGAGGATGCCGTGTATGTATCGGGCACGCCGCACAATCGAGGGGTATCTGCATCAACTTCGACATGCAGGACCGCCCCGCAGGATAGTGGTGGGGTGGTAGGCAAGGGGGGGGATCGGCGTCGTCTCCGTTTCTCTCTCGCTCTCTCTTTCACACACTGTGCAAAGTGGTTAGTGCGGTCACCTGATCTCTAGCGTTGGGGGAGAGAAGGAGGAGGAGGAGGAGGAGGAGGAGGAGGACAGGGTCAATGGCTCGCACAGGGACGGGGCGTGAGGCGGTGGCGGGGCGGAACGAAAGGCGAGGGATGAGCGCACTGGCCCAGAGAAGAGACGAGGCAGGCGGCCAAGAGCAAGAGACGACAAGAGGGCGACGAGGTTCGAGCGGCGCGGCGCGGTGCACCTCCGAGGCGAGGCTGGCAAAATTAGGCCTGGCGGCCTCGGGAGGTGAGGAGAACTCTGGCACCCACATGGCGTCGCGCAAGGACGCGGGCTCGAGAACGGAACAGAGAGACCGGACAACTGGGCCCGCAACGATCCTTGGTCCGTATTGTATTGAAATCTGGCATTATGTACTAACACGCTCGCAGTCTTCTGCTCACCAGACACCGGTGGGGCCGCGAAGACAAACGCGTTGAAACCGATCCCATGCATCATCGAGGTGGGGGGGGGGGGGGAGTCGAGCAGCAAGGCCTCAAGAGCAGCGGGGCAGCGCCGGTAAGGTGGTTGTGACGGAGTCACCGAACATCGCCCTGAACCCGAAGCGGCAGCACTGGATTCCTCGTCTGAAGCGTCTCGTAGCGGGCCACGCACGGCACGCGCTTTTAACTGGGGAGGTGGCCGCGAATGGACCTGCCATCTGCACCAATATGTTTATGTGCATGACTGTTTGGACACTGACCGCCTCCGTCGAGTCAGGCCCCGGACATGCAGCATGCGTTGGAGCAGCAGTGGCCCGATCGGCGCGGGGTCACAACGAGCTCGGAACCGCCGATGCACCCTCTTCGGCTCATCATGCTCATCTGGGTCACAGAGATGTGAGGCAATGCTCGACCACTCCCGGTGCGCTCGGCGCCGCGTGATAGTTGCAGAATTGACCAACCACCTGTGCAATCTCGGGGCCAGGGGCACATCGTGTTCGTGCACTGCAACCTGATGGAACCGCCCAACGATGCTGGGAAAGACAGGAGTACGACTTGCACGGCGGCAAATGGTGGCATTGTTGTCAATCGTGAGGTCTCTCGGCGCTGCGTCGAAACCCAGGTGGCGCATTTTTCAGCATCGCTGTCTGGATGGCGTGGCGAGGTGCAGCAGTCAATCTCTGCGGCGCCGTATGCTCAGCGTTGACAATGCGGAAGTCCGCCTCGTAGTACTGGCCAGCGTCGGGCAGCGCCAGGTGAGCCGGCGCGTTGTAGGCTCGGATGTCCCGCGCCGTCGAAATCTGCAATGCTCTGATCTGCGAATGTTGCTCCAGCAGCTTGCGGGGGCGGTCGCCTTGATTCGTCGCGTCTGTCAGGGCCAAGCCGCACGCCGAGATGCTTAGAATTCTGGCTAAAACGCACGTCAGCAATATGGACATGATGCTCGCAAAGTCGTCGCGCGGCCAATTCCAGATGCAAATCTTCAGCAATCGCAATCCAGCGTTTGCCCGTGCGCAGCGTCAGGCCAGCCAGAACGCTCGCGTCATTCCACCCATCCAAGAATCACTGGAATAGACGGGTGCATGTCTCTAGAAGCAACTCCGACGTCACCCTCGCGCGCGAAGGGTTCGCTGGGCGCAGAATCGCGCACCGTTGATGGCCGCGCGCGACGGGATCGAACGGGATAACCGATGCGAGAGGCGATAGAGAGAGAGAGAGAGAGCGAAAGAGAGAGCACCCTTGTTTCATGCCTCTTCTGATGTAAAAGCTAGAGGACTTCGAATCATAGAAGCCAATGCCAGCGTATGCGTCAGAATTGAGCAGCGTCGCGACCTGGACAATGTGCCTATAGCGGCGCCCGTCCCCGCAGAGAACACTGAAGATCCAGGAACGCAAGACGTTGGGGGGTGCGGCTGCCTTATGCAGGAACATCATGCCAGGAAGCTCGGGGCCGCGGACACATGCCCACTCGACAGCCCACGACTCAAACTCTACCGCGTTGTCGATGAGGCTTCCTTTTTTTGGGGGGGGGGGGGCGTTTCTCTCTCTCTCTCTCTTTCTCTCTTGCTCTCTGTCTCTGTCTCTCTCTCTCTCTATGTCTATCTTTAAGTGTAAACAGATGTCTGCCTTATGGACCCGCGCTGGCAGCGGTCAACGGAGTGCGTGGCCTGGGCCTGTGCGGGGTCGGCCAGCGCCGATGGGGTCAGCTTCTTGTCTGTATTGCTCAGGGTCGGGCCCCTTGCATGGCGTGTTTCTGGAACAGTCCTGGGGCCAGACTCGCTAACCTCGGCCGTGGGCGGGGGCGCAAGCTTGGCCAAGTCGAACCGGGAAGGGGGTGGGGGTTGATTCTCCAGCAGGGTTAAGTCGGGCGTGTCCCCCTACAGGGCGATTTTGGGTGACAAATCTTAAATACCAGAAACATGCCTTCAAAATGCTCAAACATTGCCAAACAATAATCCCCATATTATTTTTGGACTATTCTTGGATATTCCCGCTGTAGAGGGACAGGCCCGACTTAACAGCAGGGCGCGGTGGCCCTCGTGCAGGGTGGACAGGGCGGATGGCGCCCCATCTGGTCCTGCAGCCAGGCCCTTTCGGGAGAGCACGATTGAGGCGAAACCGTGCTCCATCGACCCCGGCTGGATCCCGGGATCGACGATCTGGTGCTCGTCGCTCAAGGCAGCCAGCAAGGCGGGACCAGGGACTGTGAGCTCGCTAGGATACTGATGTGCTTCACCCCAGGGGTACGATCGGTTGCAGGCGCTCTGCTCAATGCCGATTGGCGCATTGTCCAGGGGATCACAGAGCACGAAGGTAGCTGGCATGCGACGCTTCACCGACCGCGATCGACAAAAACCTTGCATCCGAGCGCGCCGGGCTACGTCGAAGCGTCCAATAGCATCATTGCAGCCGCGTTGGGCCGTCTCACCTACCATATCAGATTTGAGGGCGCATATAGTTGCGAAACCCCGTACAATCAGTAAGCAACATGTCATCGAAGCTCTGGCAATGGCTAAATTCAGGTAGGGCATGCTGGCATCGCAACAAAGCAACGTAATTTCTCGCGCGAGCAGCGCGTCGGAGACGAAGGCAGACATCGATTTGTTCACGGTCAGTGCGGGGGCCCAAGCGGAACATCTGGCGAGTTAGCTCGTCCTTTGCAGCAAGCGTGGCAGCCTTCCGCTCCAGCAAGGCCTCGAGCGGATCATTGCCGGGGCAAAACTCCTGGGGCATCGTCTCCATCGTCGAACCGAATTCAAGATGCTCAGTGGACCCATCGCGGCGGGGTGAAATGAACAGGGGGCCCGGGCTCACCTGCGTGAAAGCTGGCACGTGGTCAGAACGCTCAACCCGATTGTGACCCAACCCGATGATGCCAATACGAGCCTTCCGGTCGAGGATATCAGCGGCGGGGTCTGGCCAGTAGATGCGATGCAACTTAAAGCGCTGAGCACGATGTCGCCGATCACCGTGCGATGGGTGGCGTCATACTGCGGGACCTGGACGAAATCCCCGAAGAGTTCCGCGCGCTCACTGCACGAGAAGGCGCCCTCCAGCGCGAGAGGTGCTGCCGTCGACTGCCCGCCGAAACTGGAGGTGGAGGAAGAGGAGGAGGAGGAGGAGGAGGCGAAGGAGGAGGAGGAGGACGAGGAGGAGGAGGAGGAGGAGGAGGAGGAGGAGGAGGAGGAGGAGGAGGAGGAGGGGGAAGGCTGCAACACGCGCCTGGCCTTCACTGGACGGTCCCTTCCTGCAGCGCACCGTGCTGGATGAACAGTGGAGGCCGAAACCGGCTTTGCAATGCCATCTGCAGAGGTCGCGTCGTTCATGGCGATTTCCAAGCGGCGCTTGGCCACGCGCGTCGTCACGCACTCGCTGACGTTGAGAGCGAGCTGTTGTCAATCGCCCCCATTCCGGGGAAAGGGGTGCTGACGAAGGTGCCGAGCTTGCTCTCATGCTCTGTGGTCTTGGTCAGGTCCCATACCTCCTCGTTCGCGGTGTTGGAGGAGGCGGGGAAAACCAGAGAGCGGGATGGAGCTAAGTTTCGTGGCCGGGGTGGAGATGTTCTTCGCTTTCAGCTCGCCCATCACGATCTGCCAGCATTGGCTAAGAGCGAAAGTGCGGTGACGAATGGGCTGCGGCTGATCCGAACCAACGCGCAACGACACTATCTCGGTCGGTCTCGGGTCAATCCAGGTTAGCAGCTTCGGGTCCGCACGCGTGGCAGCGTGGGAGACTTGCGCGTCCTCCTCATCATCGAACTTGATGTTGTAACTGTACTTGTGGTTCTGCGCCTGCGCGCGGCACTTGGTTGCGTCCTCAAGGGCTATTTTCGTCTTGATGACCGCGAAGTGGTTCCGAAATATAGGCATCATGAACTTCTCGGGGAGGCCGCGGATCTATATCTTCTTCTTGTTGCGAGTGTCGGCGTCGGCGAACGACGGGCGAAAGACAGCGGGAGTCGTCTGAGCGCGGTAACGGGAACCCTAAGATGACCACGGATCGTTGTGCGACGAACCAGCACTGGAGGCAACCAGGGACACCAACTTCGCCTCAAGCTGGGCCACGCGGCCGGAGATAGCTGCATGAACGACATGGCCAGGAAGGACAGAGAGGGCGACGGACACGAGCAATATCCCCAATATCAACATCGACGCTCATGCCGCCGTCATCCATCGCAGAACACGGCGGCCGTGGACTCCCGCACGGCCGCCAGCCAGGTCGTTTGGCGGTCCACATCATCACGTACGTCACGAACCAACTGGGACTGCTCATCGATGTGCTTCGACATGTCCGTGTCCAGACGGTGACCACTGTCATGTTGTCCGTGAACGTGTTGCCGACCTCGGACATGCGAACCTGCAGCGGCCGGAACTGGTCAGCGAGAAGCAATCGCATAGACTCATGATCCAGGGCCATCTGAAGAAACAAACAGACTGGATGTAAGGAGTAATTGCGAACATACGGAGGCGGTGTGTAACGTATCTTGCTGATGCACCAGGCCTCGCAGCACGGATCGAGTGGGTGGAAGGCCACTGTCGGCCAGGGGCCTCAAGCCAGACATCATTGCTGCGACAAAACTCTGAGCGCCGAAGTCCCGCGGTTAGAAGTTCAGCCAAAATGGCTGCGGAGGAAGCGCGAGGGATCAAGCTGAAGAGGATGCTGTTGTGCTCGATGGTAAATCAGGACGATGACGACGAGGACAAGGAGGACGGGAAGGGATGGGGGTGGAGGATCGTGCAAAGGATCACGACCTCGGCCCCCCAGCCGCCTGGGACGCCCCCGCCTCCTCTTGCTTTGCGCAGGCGTTGGATGCTGGAGCCGCCGCCTTTCTTCGAAATCTGGACGTCCCCAGAAGCCTACAGGGGTCTCTGACTGAGGCCTCCAGGGGCCAAGCCAAAGTACCCCTAAACAGGTTGCCCTACTTCCCCGCTGCACTCAGGGCTGTGGCTCCGAGAAGGTCCTCATATCTGGGCCGGCTGTCGAGCAACACCCCGCGGACCAACGCCGAGGCCTGTCCTGCGCGCGCGGCCTCGTGCGTGCGCCAGAGGGCCCTTTGGGAAAGAGAGGGAGCGGCCGAGAAAACGTCGGGCCGAGGCGAAGGAAGCCCGAGGTCCGACGTCGCCGCTTCTTCGTGATGCGGCCGCCCCAGACCTCTCGACCCCACCTGGGGGTCGGCGTTTCATCCCGTCGTTCTATGGGGAGAGAAACGGTCTCCAGGCGCGCAAAACTTAGCAGCTATCTGGCTGTCGTGTTTTCTCGTCGAAGCGCTGTAAGCCTGGGGGGGCCCTGCATGACCGGCACCACTCCACATCCCGAGGAAAGCGCACGAGCGGAGCATGCACCATAGCTGCAGCACGCAGAAGGGATTCGAGACAATAAGACCCGACACATTAATACAAGACCGCGCAACGCCCGCTAGCTGAACTGCAAGGATCTACACTAGTTTCGCCCTTCCCCCGCTTTCTTGTCGTCCTTGTCGGCTGGCTCTTTGTCTTATTAATGATATGGGTAATCCTTCTCGTGCTATCATTACTATTGAAACTACCAGTGCCCCTTGTGTTCCCCTTTCTTCCTTCTCCAGCCCCCTTCTCCTTCGCATTCATTATATATTTCTTTGCCGTCATCATCATTTGTTGGTGACATGTTCCTTTATCATTCTCCGCCCCTCCTTTTCCTACTCTCCCTTCTTGTGCTCCTCCTTCTTCCTCCTCCTCCTGAGGAGGGGGAAGAGATGGAGGGCGACGGCCACAGCAACGACGACGACGACGACGACGACGACCAAGTCAACGACGACGACCGCGGCGACAAGGTCGGCGCTTGAAGCCGAGTCGAGCGGCGAATGGGCGCCCTCGCTGACGTTTCCTGCCCCTCTTCTCCCCCTGGCTCTTCGCTGTCCCGCCCAGCGCTCCTGCTCGCCCTCCCTGGAGTTCCCCACCTTCGCTCCTTCCCTCCCTCGCTCGCTCGCTCTTTCTTCCTCCCCGTCCCCCCCCCGTCCTCCTTCCCTTCTCCCTCCTTTGCTCCCTCCCTCCTCCTCCTTGTTCCTCCCTCCCTCCTTCCCCTCCTTCTCTCGCGCCTCCTTGTGCCTCCTGCCCCCTGACTCCCCATTCCTGCCTTCCTCCCTCCCTCCCCCCTCTCCGCTGCCTCGCCCTCTGGCGCTCCAGCCCGCCCAGAGAGGCGCCCAAGGAGGGGGGGGGGGGATCGTGGGGGAAGGACTAGAGGTGAGCAGGGGGAGAGGGAGGGAGGAGGGGGAAGCGGCGAGGGGGAAGAGTAGGGATGAGAGGACGAGGGGGGCAGAGGAGAGGAGTCCGGGGAGGAGGAGCAACCAAACGAGTCCTCCTCCGTCTCACCTCCTCATCCTCCTCCACCTCAACCCTCCACCTCCTCCTCCTCTTCTTCCTCCTCCTCCTCCTCCTCCTCCTCCTCCGCCCTCCCTTCATTCTCCTCCTCCTCCTCCCTTTCCTCCTCCTCCTCCTCCGCCCTTCCTTCATTCCCTCCTCCACCTCCTCCCTACTGTCTTGCCGCCCCACTCCTCGAAGAAGTTCCCTCCCCGTCGACGCTGCTGAGCGAACTCCTGTGGCCACGCCGCTGGCCCGCGCCCAAGTCGTCGATGGAGCTCCTCTGGTCCGGGAGCGTCGGCTCTACGAGACATGTGCGGTAGACTCCCGCCATAGCGTCGCGGGCTCTGGATCAAGCCACTGCGCGATCCGTTTGATCTTGAATCAAGGTCACCCAACTTCGCGCCTCTCTCCGTGCGAGGCGCGGTCGGTCTTCGTGCCCTTGCGCCGCCCCCCCTGGAGGAGAGCAACCGTGGTCCATGCCGCGAAGCGCGATGATCTTCGCAATCCTGCGGGTGACCTGCAGAAGGATGTCCTCTGTCGGGGGATCTTCAATCCCGCGCTGGGACGGCATCAACCATCTGTTACTGGGCATACTGGGACAAGAGGCCCTCAAAACGGCCCAAAAGAGACCGCCACGCCGGCCCAACCGCGCCCCAAGAGGCCACCAAAACGGCCTCCGTCCGACGGGCCAAAAGCACCCCAAGAGGGCCCAAGCGGCCCCCAAGAGGCCCCTTCAGAGGCCCCTGAGAGGCCCGAATCGTGCCCCAAGAGAATCCAATCTATTGGCACGGCTTCGGTCCAACATTGGGCCGCGAGGCGCTTCCTAGAGACAAGGGGGCGGCGGTGGTCCGCCGTAGGCATCATCCGTAGGGACCTTACTGATCTTGGGATTCGTACGATTGGTGCACGATTCTCAAGCCCGTGGCCCAAACCGCATCTCATGTGGCGTAACCCCTGACACGTGGTGCTAAGTGTTTTCCTCCTCCCGATCCTCACTCTCGTCCCCCTTCTTCTCCTTCTTCTTCTCATCTTCCGGCCCCTCCTGGCACGACCACCCTGGACATCGTATTTCCCACGCTCTAACATCTCACGGGCAGCTCACACAACAATGCAGACAATGACTACACTAACACACCATCCTTCTGCTGATGCCCTCACCCCTAGATCCTTGTGTCAGAGATCTGGTGATATGCAGACTGGGCGAGATCCATAGCAATGATGACTGGAACTCAACCGAGAAAGGCCTGAACTTGTACAACTCGAACCGGAGAACACTCTTGAGCCAAGTTGGCACCACAACATCGACGGTAATTTGGCAAGATCGTCAATAGTCGATGCACAATTGCGAATCGCGATGTTGCCAAGAAACGAACCAGCGGATCCATGACTTATATCGACCCACGTGCTCTCACGAACATTCACATACTGGAATGGGGTGCTTGACGCAGTCAAGTGCCGAAAGCATGGCAATCTATGATTTTCCGCCTGTGCTCCAATGGTCGCGACAACTTGTCGTTCATCACTCGCACTTTACACTTGTATCTTTGCCACCACCCCCATCGCCACCGTCTCTACTACTATCGCCGCAGCCCGCACCCTCACAACCTACTTCATCGCCTCCATCGTCTCCATCTCCGACGCCCGCTCTGCCTCCGCTATCACCAGTGACGCTAGCGACGACGCCACCGCCGAGGACACTGCCCTCATAACCGTCGCAACCGCCCACCCCCGTGCCGCCGTGGGCTGTGCGGGCGCCATCAGCAACTGTGCCACCGCTACCGACTCTGTCGTCGCCGCCGCCACAATCACCCATGCCACTGCTACCGTCTCTGCTGTCACCATCGTGTCCACCCTTTTTGGACTAGATGCGCGCGACTACCGCACATCACGGCAACGTGTCTGCTGCAGCGTGAGACGGAAGACCACGAACCAAACCGATGACGAGCACGAATCAACCTGAAATAAGCGAACTGCGTATTGAGTGGTGGTAATCCAGATGATGTGTGCAAGCAGCAATGCAACACAGTTGTGAAAGAGTGTGGGAACTTTCTTACCCAATGAAATGCGTCTACGGTGGGGTAGTGTGGCCGGTTAGCGGTGTAGTCTGGATTCGGGTTTCTGCGACAGTCCACTTCCGATGTCGGCACTGGCTGCACAACTAGATCCCTTCTGATTGAAACGCAAGTCGATTCATCAACCAACCTCGCATACAATGTCGTGGCTAACCACGCCATTACGGACTGAACCGTTCGCCGTCTTTGGTACGTACCCAGTATCTATATCTCTATATATTTATATACACAGGATGACGCCGTGGCACGTGGGAGGCATCCCAATCTGAGGATGGGATCGATTCACCAAATGCTGGTACCATCCGGTACGCGGACGAGCATCGAAACCTGTCTATACCCAATTCTGGTTCATGAAACAATGCAACCTCCGTGCCCGACGCACGCGGAGTCGTACTGTCCAGACGCAATCGCCATCGCACTCCCACTAGAAAACACACAACTGTGTAAACATAATTTCTGGCAGGTCCGCGCGGATTTCTTGGATCGGCGCGCGCCAGGGGCGGTGCCAGAGGCGCCGCCAAGGGGGCCCGACGCCGATCCAAGAAATCAGCGTCGAGTTCAGAGGAATCATATTCATGCATTTTTGTTGCTCTTCGGCTAGTGCGGTGTGCAGGCTGCAATGCGCCTGGGGCTGCGACAGGCTAGCCCATGCCATGAATGCAGTCGGACCTCGCCCAGAAGAGCAGCCCTCAGGAACACGAGACCCTCCGCCGGCCAAAACGAGTAGAACATCCGAAGGTATCCTCCCCAGGACGATCAAGAATACTCATCGGTCGCAAGAAGTGGGTAGAACCATGAAGTAGGAAGGCGTTGGAAGTAGATTCGGTTTCCGCCCGCCTCTAGAAGAGGAATGAAGAGGGACAACCACTCGACTCTTGAAGCAGGAAGGTGGCTAACATAGATTGGAAACCGGGCATCCAAACGAGACCTGCTTTCGACGACCGATGGGTTCCCGACAAACGCAGCGAACACGAAGGCACCCTCCCCGAACCGACATCGATCTTATACCTCGGTCCGATTGTACCGTCTTGGGCGTGGCTTAACGGGGGGGTCATAAATGGGGGGGTCAGAAACGGTCCCCTTTCGTGCCCCTTTCGGGCCCCTCTGGAGCCCCAGGGGGCTCGTTTAGGTACCGTTTGGGTACCTTTTCGGACCACTCTCGCCACCCTCCCATGTACGACCCCCCCATTACGCAACGCCCAACCGTCGCGCCCATCGTCCGTGCCGGTGGGCCCTCCGCCGCTGTGGCCGCGCCCATCGGGGCTCGGCCCTCCCGCTGTGGCCGCTCCCCTCGGGGCTCGGCTCTCCCGCTCGGCCATCGGTGGCTCTCCCAGGAGCGGCGTGCCCACGCCGAGAGCACCTGCCTCGATGGACAGAGAGGCCGCGGTCGCTCACGCTTGGTGCACGAGTCGCGGGCGCGCCTCTGGAAGCGCGCGGAGAAGAGTGGTGGTAACTGTCCAGCTGGTGCTCTGCGTGACGCGACACCCTCCCCATCCCGAAGCTGATGAATGGGATCAGGAGCGACGCAGTGATGTTCGCGAAGCAGTCTGGGTCGAAACGCACGCCGCATGCTCGTGCACTCGTGCGATCGCGCACCGCTGCACGCTGAGCTAGAGTGCGAGCGTGAGGACGACCTGCCGCGTGACTCAATCTGCAGCGCGCGCGCGTAAGCGACTTGCTAAGCGCACGCTACTGGGGCAACCACGCGCTGGACGGGTAGACCAAGGGCGGCGCACCCGCACAGTAGTACAATTTCATAATTTCATCTTGATGCCGAGAAATCTCAACACGTGGGTGAAACGCTCTGCATGCTGTCCGCGGGCAAGTAACTCTTTTTGGAACCGTTCCGTCCTAAGACTGCGACGGCCGCAATGTCGACGCCCTCAGACACCACGCTCGCGCCGACGACGCACGTGCGCCCAGGGCGGCTCGGCAATGAACTCAAGGTCCTGCGTGCACGTGTGATTTTCCTGGTGCATGTCTTTGCGTGAAGGTAGAGGACAGAGGGACTCGGCACGATGCGGCGGGCGAAACCGTTGCACAACCTCTTGCGGAACGAGGTATTCGTGCTGCACCGCAAAGCCCAGAGCTGAGAGCAAGGTGCCCTGTCACAGCGAGCAGGTGACCAGCAACAAAAGGAGCCAGTCACAACTACGTCGGCGAGGAGGCTGCGTAAGATGCAATCAGGGGCGACATCCCAGGTCCCGTGGCCGATGAATGGTCAGTCGCAAGGTGGCGTAGGCCATCTCAATCGCCTGGGCAGAAAGGTCTCCCCCAAACAATTCGCGGTCCCCCAACTTCGTCTCCTTTCGTCGGTTGTGCCGCAAGATGCGCCATAAATTGCACCAAACACAGCGTCAGACACGCCGCGAACTCTCACATTGCGACCTCCCCACTCTGTCTACCTCCCTTAGGTTGCGCTTTCAGTTTCGGCAGACACCCCGCGCACCGCCAAATCGCGCTTTCCCCACTTTGTCTAGCATCGGTAGGTTGTGCCATGGGCTGTGCCAGGCGCCCCGTGCACTACCAAGTCGTGGTTTCTCAAACCTGTCTACAATAGGTTGCGCCGTAGGTTGGCCTTTCGGCTGCGACATAGGTTGCACTGTAAGCTGCTACAGAAACCGCGCCAAATCCGCCGACCCTGTCGGCGTGTGGAAGACGCATCCCGGTGTCGTCGTCTTGCGTGGATCACCGTCGTCGTCGTCGTCGTCGTCGTCTCCGTCGTGTCCTCGTCGTCTCCGTCTCCGTTGTCCCTCGTCGTCTTCGTCGTTCCCCGTCTCCTTGAGCGCGCGAGCCAAAGCGACATTGAGCAACGTCGTAGTTGAGTCGTGGCGAAGCCCCTCCCTACCCTCCCCGCCGGGGGGGGGGGGGGGTCGGGGGGGGGTCGCCACCCAGATACGCATCCTCCCCGGGGGGTCCCGGAGCTCAGAAAAGCTTCAAGACGAGCCAAGAGCGACAGAAGACACCCCCAAAAGGGTACAAGAGGGCCTCGACTCGACGAACGATGGCCCCAAGACGCCCAAGACGGCCCGAAGACGGCCCAAGAGGCCCTCAAGACGCTCCAAGAGAGCCCCAAGAGCACACCCAAGAGGGCCCCAGGCGCCAAAATCGTCAATTTTACATCGGTTTTTGAATGATTTTGGCCTTCTCGCCTTTTCGGCTTTCCGACACTCCAAGACGGCCCAAGAGGCCCCCAAGAGGCCCCCAAGAGCGCCCCAAGAGGCCTACAAGAGGGCCCCAAGACGGCCCAAGAAGGCCCCAGGACAGCCTAAGAGGCCCGCCCCAAGACGGGGCCCAAGAGAAACGGCCAAGAGGGGGACGAGGAACCGAGAATTCGAGACTTCCGCCCTAAGAGGCCCCCGGGAAGCCCCAAGAGGCCCCCAAAAGGCCCCAAGAGGCCCCCGAGCGGCGCCAAGACGCCCCCAAGATGCGCCGAAGACGGCCTCCGGAAGCCCCAAGAGGCCCAAAAGAGGCCCCAAGAGGCCCCACAACGGCCCCCAAGAGGCTTCAAGTTGCCTTCCAGACGCCCCCGAGAGGTCAACCACGAGATCCCAACCAACATCCATAAGGCCTCCTCCTCCTCCCCCTTCACCCTTCCTCCTCCTACTCCCTTCCGCCTCCTCCTCCTCCTCCTCCTGCCCCCCCCCTCGTGTTGTCTTTCGTCATCTTCAGGGTCGGCGGCAACGGCCGTAAGGCCTTCGCAATACTGCGCCAAACACCCAAAACACTAACACATCGAGATCTGCTCACTCTTGAGTACCGTGCAGAAGATGCGCCATACATGCATGCTCACAAGTATGTACATACAGATTAGCCAGCGTCGACACCAGACAGTGATATCTTGCAGTGTATGCGGTGCAATCTAGGTCGTGCAAGCGATGAGGTGTGATCCAAGTGGTGCAATGACTGTGGTGCAATTCATGTGGTGCACAGCAACGCAATCCACCGCAACCCACGACACACCAATGCAACGTAGCGCAAACACACGTACTGCAATACATACAACGCAATGCAAAACAACGGACAGCAATGCAACATAGTGCAACGCAATGCAAAGCGATGCAACACAATCCAAACCAATGCAAGGCAATGAAAAACAATGCAACGCAATGCAACGCAATGCAAATCACTGCCAACCGATGCAAACCAATGTAAAGCAATGCGAAGTTATGCCACGCGAAGCAATGCACACGAATGCACAGCACTGCACAGCAAGGCCACGCAATACTAAGCAATGCGAACCCATGCGAAGCAACGCAAAGCGGACGGCGACAAGGCGGCGGGCGGCGACGAGGCGGCCACATGGCG